AATGTAGATTCTACCTAAATTTGACCATACAGTGTCTATTTCTACTAGAAAGTTGGATCATACCTTCTGTACAGCTAACTTCCTTACACTGGACAACTTCTTCCCTCACTGCAGATCCACAAAGAGTGAACAATTAAACCTCTCTACAACTCCACTTAAGACTTCTGTTATTCAATCTATTTGGTCCAGTTTTGTAACAATTCTGTGTTTACCCTCCTCACACTTTTAAAAATATATGTGTGTAATAATTATCACACATTTTGAGCTTTTTATTAGAATTGAAATCTTTGAGGAGAAGAACTATCAGGTCTGTTTTCTATTAATTCCCAGTTTTGAAATAGTGCACAATACCTGTGAGATGAATATTACATGTTCTACTCAAAGCTCTAAAAATGAGTGAGTTAAAGTTTGCCAAAAAATAAGAAGTAAATGAAAAAACAAATAAAGAATAAAAGGCACTGGTTATACTCAGAGAAGTTGCCTTTTTATTATGCGGGAAAGGATATTGTTTTGGTGGATGAAAAAATTATGAGAAAGAGCCTTGGCCATATTTTCTAAAAATTTCATTGAAATACTTATAGATTCATAATATACTTGATGTTAGCAACTATTAAATGTCATAATTTTTATAAAGTATAAAGCTCTTCCGTGTAGATGAAGCAGTTAAATTAATATAGTAAGAATCTTCAATTCATATTGATAAGTAAGACTTTATAATTAGCTTTTTCACTAAATCTCTAAGTCATCTATAATACTGACATTGAGAACAAGGAAGAAGTTGAAAAGGAGATAGCAATGGATGAATGGTTAGAAAATGTGCTCTGTAACATGTACGTGAAATCATTCACTATTCTTGTTCTGTTAGATGCCCAATTGTTTAACTGAACTGCTTCCCTGAACTCACCAGTGCTTTAACACTTTTTGTACATCTTTATTGATTGCCAGTGACATTGTTATTTGACTAATGCATTTATTTAAGGGCATCCAATAATGATGATCTTATTCCTTTGGCTTGTAGAGGAGCAATGGCCCTCCAAATATCAGATAGGCAGTATACACAAAGGATTATATGGAGACTGGAAACATAACAGGAAAGATTGTGGAAGAAGAAAATAGAAATGAAGAAAAGTAAAATCATGATATGACAGAAAATGGGAGTATTTTGTGTCCATTGGAGACCAATTTTCTTAATTCTTCATAATGAAGTCAGTTTAAAATTATACCATGCCTGTACGGTCATTTCCTTGGATTACATTTTCATAGAAAATTTATTTGAGGCTGTAATGGATGCCTATGAAGGGAGAAGGATAGCTAATTATATAACTGGGTCACTTTTGACACATCTTCTGATTGCTTCTGACTCCCACCATGCTCTTCATTGCAAAGTCAGAATGATCTTGTCACAAGACAAGGCAGATATCAACTTCATGACGTTCTCCTGGAAACATTCATCAATGACATTCTTCACAGTTCATAAAAGAAGGAGAAGGAAGACTTCTTAAAACTCCGTGTCACATATCTCATCCATTTTTCTACATTTCACCATTTACCCATTGTGGGCTTTCAACATTTGCTTTTTGTCCTGTTTTTTAAGTCTGTCCTCTAAACTTCTGAAGAGTATGATGCAGTTTTCTTTCTTGCCTATAATACATCTTCTCCAGCTCACTGTAGTTGCCCCTGAGCAGTAGATTTAGTCTGTCAGCTCCCTGAAAGTGAAATATACTTCAGTCTCACTTTGATCTTAATTCATCAGATATTTTAGTAGCTCCTTATGACTACGTTTTTATGAGACTGAATCATTGCCTCCAAAGATGTACTACTCCTTGCTATACAGCAGTCCGCCTATGAAAGTGCTGGCCACAGTTCCCATGTCTTGCCTTCCAAGTGTATGAGAGAGTGTTGCTAGACATGTGACAGTTGTTAGCCAATGATGTGTAGGTAGAATGATACTTTTCCTTTTTGAGACCTCACTCCTCTGAGTTTTGGAGTGGCCCCTACTTGGACCATTATCATACGTAGAACATGCCAAGGCCCAAGGAGCATGAGGCATGTGAGGAGAAGATGCACAGCCACAACCATGGCATGATCTATCTAGCTACACACAGACAGATCAGAATTAATGAATCTTGTTATGAGTACGGAATCAGGGAAAGATTTGTTACACAGCATCAATTGAGTGATATGGTTTGAGAGTTCCATCCAAAACTCATGTGGGAATTTAATTGTCCCTGGTGCATAATTAGTAAGAAACCTTTAAGAGCTGATTAGGCTGCAGTGGCAACACTTCCATTTTTAGAATAATACTGCTTTCTTAGAAGTCAGTTTGTTTGTTCCCCTGCCTGTAAATTCATTTTTTGGTCAGTAGTATTTCTGCTGTATGGTTCCTTTTAGTCAGAGGGAGCTCACCTGGTGCAGCACATCTATTTTAAACCTGTCACCCAACCAGCCAAAAAAAGATCCAAGTAAATGTGCATTGTTCATAATCTGTCTTGTCCCTTTTGTCTGGTATTCTCTTGTATCAGCATAAAATTAACTAATACATTGACAAATACTTTTCCCTGCTACATTTTCTTTTCCCTTCATTTTGGATTTTATGCTATATTTTAGTTGTGTTCTAAATCAATTGCTCATTACTATTGGACAACAATTTCAAAACTATTAAGGGGTATATCTGTCTTGATTACAACTACATTCACTGTGCCTCTTGTGGGACTAAGATCAAAATGTGTATTTGCTATGCATTTATTGTATCCAAATTTTACTAGTCTCTAAGATTATTACGGAAAATGTTGCATTTTTAAAGTTGCATATT